CGCCTGATACATCATATTTCAACTCTACGGATCATGGGTACACAACGGAAGCTGGCCATGTTACTATTGCGAGTATTCTTCAGAGTGCATCATTTGCTGCAACTGGAGTAGTAGTATTACTTAGCAACCTATGTTCTATGATCATCATTCACCGGCAGCACGGTGTCTTTGGAGAATCCTCAAGACATCTCTATCAAGTTCTAGCAGTTGCCGATATGTGTGGCGGTCTGACCGGTTGCATATCAAATTCTATCCTGTTTTTTCGCTACAGCTGGCCATTCAGTAACATCTCTTGTAAAATAATCTCCTGGTTTTTCCCCGCTTTGGTACAAACCTCTATAATCGCACTATCCTGCATCAGCGTAGACCGATACATCGCAATCAGTAGACCCTTACATTACCCCATACTGGTCACTCCTAGACGTACCACAATATGGTTGTGCCTACTGTTACTCATTCCGTTGTCGATCTTTATTTCTGGTTTCATTCCCAACACACCGATGTATACGTTTGCAGGCTATACATGTTACAGTCTACATGGTACATCGGAAAAAATGACATTTAGTTCATCGTCAATTGCAACCGCGGCTCTTTCGGCATTTCTCTTCGTCTCTGTTCCCTCTTTACTTGGGGTCATTCTTAATTGTGGTTCCATGAAGATTTCTATCCATCAGGCGCGAGCTGTAGCTGCACAACAAGCAGTAGTCGGCGCTAACAGGGTCAGAGATCCTTCTGTTGACTACAAAGGGGTCAAGACAGTTCTTCTGATAGCCATCGTGAATGCAATCTCCTGGCTGCCAGCATCAGTAATCTTCTTGTACCCCGTCTTAGGATCACCAGTCATACCATGTTGGCTTCATTTTATCCTCCGTCAGCTGACGATGGTTACTTTCTGGAGCAATGCCCTGATCTTTGCACGGACAAACAAGGCTTATCGTCGAGCTGGACGTTTGCTCCTCAGGTCCATATTCTGTCGAGAACCATCTGGGATGCAAGTTGTTCACCCCTGAGTGATTAAAGAACATGTTTCAACATCACCTTGTTGCATGGCCTTCGATGATATGCTTTGGCCATGTTGATATTCCTGTAAACGTATGATATTTTACATATAATATGAGAGTAATAGCGACATAATCAAATTATGCATATTTATATTTTAAATAGTTGTACTTGACCGAGATATGCATGGGTACATGATTTGATTAAGCACTACATTTTTACCGCTCGGCTATGACCGAGGTCAGGATGTTGGAGTGCCACGTACGTCAGGACGCGGTATAAAGAAAGCACCGTTTTATAAATTATTAATATCGGTAAAAGTAGTAGTAGTAGTTGTAGTAGTAGTAGCAGTATCATTATCATTATTTTGTTTTGTTTCTTTTTCTGTTATTGATATATTAATTATTATGAATCTTCTGATTAGCATTATAATTATTATTCTATTCTTGAAGTTATGGCTGGTGTTGTTTTTGGTTGTCATTGTTATCATTATTATCTTTGGTAAGATTACTTTAGTCACTACGTTTGAGGAGATTTAGTATTTATGACAGTTTATCATTTTTGAAAATAACACTTTTAATATATACATATTTGATTAGATATGATTCATTGTCAGGACAATACTTATTGTACTTCTATTATTATCGAAAAACTCTGTACTTACATGAATGCAGAAGAAATCAAATCAAAATCAAATCAAAATTATCAAGTAATAATTATCATTCTATACCTCCCTTTCATGACAAGAATATAACATGACTCTTAACCATTAAGACTTGTGAGGTAATGACTTGGCAAAACAGCAGCGGATTTTAATGGTTTTTATAGTGTAATACTCTGTACATTTGTGAACGTATATTGCAGCTCGTTGAGTACGCGCAGTTGCCATTCACCTACATTTTAAAAACCGCAGCGTTTTTTTGTTTTTTGTTTTTTGCTGCGGTTTTTCGTGTCATATCAGAACGAACCTTTAGTCATGGAACAGAAAGGTACTTAGGGTTATGTTTTTGTTGTATTAAGTGATTTCAATTGTCAAGTCTTGTGTCTGTTGTTACGATTGCTAGTAATAAATAGAGGCAACTGACCTTTTCCGTTTGTGTCTCTCTGAGATAGTCAAAAGCGTTGGATGTTTTAAGAATATTAAAATGTATACAGTTTGATGTAAAACTGTTTTGTTCTTATATGGTACGTTTACGGCACCGAATTAATGCCTACCATAACCACCATGACGAAGGTTGTTTTTGCCATATTAATTGTATGGTGGCCCTGAAGGGACATCGCGAATAGACTAAATCGTGAAAAATATGCGATAAAATTCACGATATCGTCAATTTTATCGCATATTTTTCACGAAGAAATTCACGAAATTGACGATATCGTGAACTTTATCGTGAACTTTTCACGATGAAATTGACGATATCGTGAATTTTATCGTGAAAAGTTCACGATATAAAGTTCACGATATCGTCAATTTTATCGTGTACTCTATCGTGTACTCTATCGTGTACTCTCCTGACGGGCGCTTCGTAAACAAAACCAGCCCTAGCTGGGGGAGACAGAGAGAAGGAAAAAAGGGAAAGGGAAAGAGAAGATAAAAGGAAAGAAAGAATAATAAGAAGAAAAGAGGGAAACGGGGGGGGGGGGGCGAAGGGCTCTTGCCTCCTCCTCACTCCCCCCCCCCCCGCCAAAAAATAAATAAGGAGAGAGAGAAGGGAAAGGGAAAGGGAAAGAAAATATAAAAGGAAAGGAGGAAGAAGGAAAGAGGGAAACGGGGAAAGGGCGAAAGGCTCTTACCTCCCCCCCCCCCCCCGCCAAAAAAATAAATAAGAGAGAGAGAGAGAGAGAGAAGGGAAAGGGAAAGAAAGAAGAGGAATAAGAGGGAAACGGGGGGGGCGAAGGGCTCTTGCCTCCTCCTCACTCCCCCCCCCCCCCTCCCCGCCAAAAAATAAATCAGAGAGAGAGAGAGAAGGGAAAGGGAAAGAGAAGATAAAAGGAAAGAAAGAAGAGGAAGAAGAAGAAAAGAGGGAAACAGGGGCAAAGGGCTTTTGCCTCGTCCCCCCGCCCCCCGCCAAAAAATAAATAAGAGAGAGAGAGAGAGAAGGAAAGGGAAAGAGAAGAAAGAAAGAGAAAAACGAAAAAGAGTGAGAATAGGAAAGAAAGGAAAAGAAAGAAAAGAAAGGAGGCAAGAGCCCTTCGCCCCTGTTTCCCTCTTTTCTTATTCTTTTTCCATTTCTTTCTTTCCTTTTATATTTTCTTTCCCTCTCCCTTCTCTTTCCCTTTATGGCGGGAGGGGGGAGGGGGAGGTAAGAGCCTTTCGCCCTTCCTCCGTTTCCCTCTTTCCGTCTCCTTCTTCTTTCTTTCCTTTTATATTTTCTTTCCCTTTCCCTTTCCCTTCTCTCTATCTCTCTCTCTCTCTCCTATTTATTTGTTGGCGCGGGAGGGGGGAGGAGGCAAGAGCCCCTCTTTTCTTCTTATTCTTCTTCCTTTCCTTTTTTTATTCTCTTTCCCTTTCCCTTCTCTCTCTCTCTCTCTTATTTATTTTTTGGGCGGGGGGATGCAAGAGCCCTTCGCCCCCGTTTCTCTCTTTTCTTCTTCTTCTTCCTCTTCTTTCTTTCCTTTTATCTTCTCTTTCCCTTTCCCTTTCCCTTCTCTCTCTATCTCTTATTTATTTTTTTGGCGGGGGGTGGGGAGGGAGGAGGCAAGAGCCCTTCGCCCTTCCCCCGTTTCCCTCTTTCCTTCTTATTCCTCTTCTTTCTTTCCTTTTATATTTTCTTTCCCTTTCCCTTCTCTCTCTTATTTATTTTTGGCGGGGGGGGGGGGGAGGAGGCAAGAGCCCTTCGCCCTTCCCCTGTTTCCCTCTTATTCCTCTTCTTTCTTTCCCTTTCCCTTCTCTCTCTCTCTCTCTCTCTCTCTTATTTATTTTTTTGGCGGGGGGGGAAGGTAAGAGCCTTTCGCCCTTTCCCCGTTTCCCTCTTTCCTTCTTCCTCCTTTCCTTTTATATTTTCTTTCCCTTTCCCTTTCCCTTCTCTCTCTCCTTATTTATTTTTTGACGGGGGGGGGGGGGGAGTGAGGAGGAGGCAAGAGCCCTTCGCCCCCCCCCCCCGTTTCCCTCTTTTCTTCTTATTATTCTTTCTTTCCTTTTATCTTCTCTTTCCCTTTCCCTTTTTTCCTTCTCTCTGTCTCCCCCAGCTAGGGCTGGTTTTGTTTACGAAGCGCCCGTCAGGAGAGTACACGATAGAGTACACGATAGAGTACACGATAAAATTGACGATATCGTGAACTTTATATCGTGAACTTTTCACGATAAAATTCACGATATCGTCAATTTCATCGTGAAAAGTTCACGATAAAGTTCACGATATCGTCAATTTCGTGAATTTCTTCGTGAAAAATATGCGATAAAATTGACGATATCGTGAATTTTATCGCATATTTTTCACGATTTAGTCTATTCGCGATGTCCCTTCAGGGCCACCATATAATTGATCTAATAGCCAATGAGAACAGTCAGCGAACCCATGTCTTACCGGAATCTTTATCTCGCTCTCGCTCTCTAGTTCCATCTCTACCTCCCGCTCTCCCCTTTATCTTTCTTCCTCACACGCACACACACACACACGCACACACACACGCGCGCACACCCCAACACGGAGGTCATCATCTCGTGTATCAAATGTTTTACTTTTTATGTGTTTATTTGCTATTTGATAACTAAATAAATGTTGATTGAGCATTGATTCGGGAATGAAAAGCTGTTAGAATGATGAAAGCCTTCGTGCTAGCAATTGCCATGTCTCATGGTGACCATATGGTAGGAATACTCCCATGGAGTAGACATAGTGCATATTGTGCGTGTCGTGAATCCGATGACCGGGGTAATAATATTTGTAAAGCGCTTAGAGACGGTATTTAGTCTTAAGCGCTATACAATTTCAGATTATTATCATTTTTGTAATAGTACTAAATTACAGTTAAAAAAAGAGCACACATAAAGCACGTGGTTTAAAAATGGTAAATATTGTATACGTTTTTAATTGATCGTAGTTTTGTACAAAGCCAAATGCTATAGAAAACTCGTCAAACATAGATTGTTATAAAGACATGGTTAAATACAATGAAAATAGAAAAATACATCGTATAGCAAAAATAAGGTTATTTTGATTAGAATTTGCAGCAGCAATTTAGCAAAGTGAAACAGAAAAAAAAAGATATTTTGTGACATAATTCTCGTTTAGTGATCCTGAGCATAACTATCATTTGCAAGAAACCTATACAGGAATAAATTCAAGCTTGCACACACGATAACAGGCACTCTGTAAATATATGTCATGTAATGTACTAACTCATGGACATGTTGTACACCTGAGTGCAACGTGAAAGAAGAAACATCTTTCGAGAAACAGGCAAACAGTGAATATCTATTATATCTTCAGTTTTAACAACGTCATTAATGCTGATCATAATATATAAATGATTAATAATACACATAAAACTTTTATAAACCATAATCACCACGAGTAAGCTAAATATTGATTTTATTTGTTAGGATTTGGAGAATAATATGCTAGTAAATATTATAAATTTGATATTTTAAGGGCATCAACAATTCATTCTACATTTATTATGGAATAGTTCATTTATGCCCACTTCGATGTTTCAATAATATTTTTAATAACTTTGTCACAATACAACTTTTGTAAAGGTTTGGCGAAAATACCGTGACATGAAATCTATAGTGAGAACATGCTTCAGGGTTTTCACACTTCGAGATATATATTAAAACCCATTAGCATATGTTTAGTATCTCAGTCCGGAAAACGGAATAAAGAATAAAACTATTCTACTCATGTATATACCCTTTGCATGCAAATGAGCATCGCGCACATTTGTTGCGAAACAAACATATACTACTTCTCCTATGTGTTTTGAAAAGAAAACTTGTGCAAACTAAATATGAAACGTGCATTAGATACAAATCAACAAACCATCTACTTCTAACATCACAACACCATCTAACTATCATATACACTGGATTCAAAACTAAACCTAAACTTCAAGGCACCGTGCATTGATCTAGACTTATGCTAAATTCAGCAAAATGTTTTCAGGAACAATCTTTCCTACCTAAAGTGGATGGTGAATCTTGGAGTACTGAGCATTCTTTAAAATTATATTTGGCATTAGATGCGTCGTGTTAGAGTACTAAACAGAATATTTTTCCACGGGAATTTCATTCTCCATCTTGTTACTCAGTTCCAACCGCCAAAACCAACTCCAAGCCGATTACACACAGATTGATTCGTTTCCATTCGGTCTGTTGTCTGTCTTTGGTAGGTCTCGTCGATGAAATGGTCACTTATCGTTTTCCGGAAGGTTCATTATTCCGAAGCCTTGTAATTCCAAAGGCTCGAAACCTATTACGCATCAACTATGACTATAAACAAAAACGTCATCCTCTTTGTATCATACTTTATATACATACCGTCGGTTTGGGGCCAAAAGGGTTTTAGCTCATATATCTTGATACAGATTAAACGGTCATTTCTCCTGGAGGAAATGCAGCAGTTCAACTAGAGGAGTTACATATTCATTGGAAAAAAAAATTGACGTCATATTTCAATCGTCAGCACCGGTTTCATGCGGTAAGTGCAAAACATATCGAGTAAAATATAACCTGTAACCTCGTTGAGCGCTTGTCAGCCGAAAGTCATCAATACTGGAATTTGTTAATTAGTCTGGTAAACCTGAACCTGTGTCTAAGGTCACATTTATAAAGGAAAAATTTGACCTCAGACTTACTTCCTTTGTTAACCCTATCTTAAACAAAATATTAAGCCCAGCGTCGGGTTTGCAGTTTATCGGAATATTGACTAATGTGTTTTAATGATGAAAAATATATACAAGTCTTTAAAGAGCTGCCCATCTGTAATATCCTCCTTCCGTAAATATGTGATTTTGATTACTCCGATCGCTCACAAATCCTCTACTTATTATTTGTACTGGTAATTTTACTGGCGGATACTTCGATTTCAAAAGAAATGGCGGCTTTACCTAGACAGGGCCTTATACATCTTGTCAAGACCAGCACTGGCTTTACACTATCGAGAGTTCCGACACATGTTGTAGGTACAGGAAAATTCATCCTGATCGAACATAGGTTTTTTGTAAATATTTGAATAGTTCCACATTAAATGAATGTTAACAAATCTTATCTGATCAAATAACTCTAGCCATAAAATTTCTTAAGGAATTCTCATTTTTTCATGAAGCCTTTCATCTGTTGCTACAACATGTGGTGATTATAAGAGCCCCCTGTCGGTCAATAGCAAAACACTATTTCGGGTGATAGTGGAAAGCCCGTATTGGTCCCGACTGACAACGCTAATCACACAGGATAGTTGGGTTCCAGGGGTGGACCCTAACTTGCTTAGCAAATCGTTGTAGAGCCATCTCTTTAAGAGAGCGTGGAGAGAGAACTCATAGGCTCGAATTCACAAAGGAGTTTTGTCGACAATCCTCGGTTTGTCGACAAACCTCCTTTTGTTTCGACAAACCTCCTTTTGTTTTTTACAAACCAGGTTTGTAAAAAAAAGCGTCAAAACGCGTCATATGACGTACATAAACCTCGGTATGTCGACAAACCTCCTTTGTGAATTCGGGCCAGGGAGTCCAAATAACTTTAAAAAGATCGATAAAACTCGGCAATAAATCGGTAAAGTTCTGGTCCCATTTCGGCGACGAGTGAGCGACGTTTAAGTGGAATCGAGCAGTGAAATGGTACGAACTGGACGAGGAAAAACATTCGACGCACTTTTTACACCTGGGCATCGGCTTCCTTGCCATTGGTGACGGTTGTCTGTTGGGCGCCCTCCTCGCCTTCAACCTCCTGAAAAAAGAAAAATAAATTGAAGAGTTTTAGTGATATTATTAAAGTAAAGCGGCTCAGACATTAATAAAGAACAGCAAAAATTAAGTTAAGAAAATGCGGATACAAAGAAATATACTTGGATGCGACGACCTTCATACAAAATACTTGCATAAAGACTTCGCGAAAATCAACAATCAGCCATTTCAATAGCCGTGTCCATCACATATTAAAACTGCGAACATTAGAATGACGCGTTGTGGAAACCGAACATTATTCCTATGGGATATACAATAAGGTTTTGAAATCAACTTGACTTGAATTCTCCAAGTCTGTGCATCGCGTTAAGTCCTGTCAGGTATAATATGGACAGAGATCCATTTCCACCCAAAAAAATACAAAGTGCCATCTGGTCAGAAATATTTTACTGCTCAGAAGCAGGAAGGCCGCAGCTTTTTACAAAATGCCATTCAAGATCAAACCATTTTATATTAAGTTTACGAATGGCTTTAAATGAATTTATGATTAATGGACAAGCTTTCATAGATCGCAATTATCTAAGATAATAAATAATAAAACACGATGTAGGCTGAGAAATCGTATTTCCAGTAAAGACGACTATATCAAATTCTATCCAAAACCATTTTTTTAATGCAAAACTCTATTTACAAAGCCTAATCAGACGTTAACAACATCAAAACACAGAAAATAAAGACTAAATCAAAATATAAAACAACAATCTATTGTACTACGAATTTTAGAGACACAGAGCTAAGTACCATCAAAGAGAGTTTACACATGAGGTGGAAGAGAGATATTAATGGATTCATAGGGCAAACAAAAAGGTATGCGAATGGGGTGGGATAACAGCCAATGCACATGCAGTGGTTATAAGCAACAAAATAATGACACCACGATAGGGTATAGAAGACAGACAATCGAAAATAACTTACAAAAAAGACAGGATATTGGCAACAATACTTGATCATGATGAAAGTTAAATAACAAATATATATCATGGTGCAGATTTGTGTTAGCACAGAAGAAAAAGTGTTTCAAACAAAAAGTAGGAATAGAATAACGCTGATCAATGAAGATCTACAATTTTAAAAAAATATGATGTAAAATCAAAATATGGGATTTTGAGAGCCGTCGATTTTCAAGACAATGCAAACAAATATAGAACCTGTCAATGAAAATAACGCACAACATCCTCTGCATAAAGAATATTTATCTTTGATTTATAGGCATAGGTAGGATAGAATGAAGTTTAATTTACAGCATTCAATGGAACGTTTTCAAACTACGTTTTCAAACTACGTTTAAAGATGCCATTTAAACACTTTTTAAAAGAAAACGAATATGGAAAATAAAGCGATTATCATTAAAATCAAGATAATTTTGTAATTTAGTGAAAGCTGGTTTTTTTCGAATGAAGATGGGATTGACATCAAATAAAAATGCATGCAATGAATGTGAAAGTAGCAAAATATGGGGAATATTTGGGAAGGAGGGTTGACGAGTTAAAATGCTTCATTTTCAGTGCCATGCTAAAAATCCAATTGCTGCCAGAGTGTTTCGTTCACAATGCATTTGCATGACCTGGGCCCCGTCATATAAAAAGTTGCGATCGATTCGAATCACTTGAAATTAATCGCAACTCATACCTCGTGAACACACAGTTGCAATTACTTTTAATTTGTCTCCAAAGGTACTGTTTAACAAATTTCCATTATGTGTCACAATATTCAAAGCTATTACTACGTAACAGAGATCACAATAAAAATACAATAAAAATGTTAACATCTATTCAAATACAATCAATTTGTTAATTTACGAACATAATGCCATTATCGTGATCATTTGTTTAATAAACTGCGAAAAGAAATCAATCGTTATGAGACCATAAAAAGGGGATGTGAGTGCAGAAACCAGACACACCGAAACAAAGTTGTTTTTTCCTCATCATGAGCAACATTCAATAAACTGTTCTAAAATAACAACAAAATCTGAGTAAACAGCGAGTTATGACCCACTATTGAATTTAAAAATGCATCATTTGATGAACGAAATATAGGACATAGTATTTTTTTTAATGACTAAATGAGCATGAAAAGTAGGTTTTTAATCTTTGGTGTTTTGAGGTTCACACTCATGATAGTTATACCGTAACTAATAATAGCTTTAGAGATGTACTATCGTTTAAAGGGGGTCTAGATGTGTAATAAAAATAACGAAAGCCTCTCTTTCGCCTCAAATTTCTATGGAGTTAATTTCTATCTAATATATGGACAAACAAAACAATTATGAATTCAGTGATGTATTTTCTGGCAAGAACTTCTCATATCTACAAATTGGTTTCATTTGTAGCTCTTCAGGAGTGAGGGTGCAATGTGTTGATCACTTGAAATGATATCCAATCATCCCTTTTTTCCTTACAAGAATCTATATTTAATATCTATTTGACCAACCCAGTATTGTCCTTCTCTAAAGATGCTCATGCGTGGGTAACTAGTCGTACGTGAAGTATGCAAGTTGGCGATCACTACATAACACTGAGCCAACGGGTATTACGCTCATGTACTTTAAGAGTTGTGCTGCCTTCTATACACCCCCGCATAAGCGACTTTAACATGCGATTAGAGGAGGGGTATTAATATAAAAAGAGCATTTAGAAAAAAAATCGAATAGCCACTCTACATAAAATGATCTGACACGACAACCCGCTTACATGCTCCAACTACGTTTGTACTAGCCTTTATTTTTTCTCTTTGTTTAGCAAGGGTGAGGATAGTAAAATGATTTTGTGTCAGGTCGAGGTTTAGGGTTAGGGTTAGGTTTAAGTGTTTTGTAGGTTTGGGATCGAAGTTAAGGATTTGGTTGGTATTAGAAATCGGTCGCGGAGCAACTGTCACGTGCCAAACATGTAGAAACAAATAAACACAAGCTATACAAGCAGGAATTTCGAAAGTCTGTGCAATACATCGGCACCAAAACCAGCTTTAAAATTGTTTCTCTTGCAAACATAGCAAACAGAAAATAGAAATAAGTGATAATGTATGTCAGATGACATTATGCATTAATTCTTTCATATTCAAGTAGTTGGCAAAAATGATACATTTACGATGGGTATTAAAATAATGAAAGTGCTCTTTTTTGTGAATGAGATGAAATACACACGTATTTTAGTGTATCAGTAAATTGTATTATTTTGTTTTGTAAAATGGAGTGACATTGGTCTTGTTCTCATACCAAGTTTGCCCTCTGCTGTACCATATGGTATCCTGTAGTTTCATGGCTCGAATCATCAGCCTCGACCTCCTAGAAAAAATGCATTTTGTGAGGCAAATGAGGTACAGTAACGACAAAAATAAGTTGGGAGATGTTTCCCGGTTTGTGTTAAAACTTACTGCCCGAATGATAGCTTGACCAATTTTAGCTTGTTTCTCACTAGAGAAGTTTGCAAAATGCTGTAGAGGTAAGTTACTTTCAAGTAAGAAATATAATTAGAATAGTAATTGGAAATTATTACTACAAGTTTGGGAGAATGGCGTTTTCGAAGGACAAAAAGAAAAAGCCAAACGAAAAGTGCATAATCTTATTGCAGTGGTGTTTAAGTTAAATGTATCAAGCAATTACAAAAAAATTGTCTACGAAGTGGAGAAACGGATAGAATAGCGACAAAAAAGGCGCGCGTGTTTAGCAATCGTGACTTGTGTCGATAACGGAGGACATCTATTGTCCTCCAAAAACGCCATTCTCCCTGCCTGAGGATACCTGATACAATTGAGATGTCTAACCAATGTTGGCATTCAGCATATGAAAAAGGACACGCGATATCTATCGGAAGCGGGACATACCAGCAATTTATCTTTTGATAAAATGGTCAAAAGAATCACGGGTATATCAATAGAAAACGTTTATTTTGGAGGGTATTTTTAATTAAACATCATTTCAACAACAATTATTATTTCAATGTTAAAATGTTTATTTTACGTCTCTCTACTTACACATCAATTACCTACAATATTATGTGGATAATTGACACAATGTTGTAAATAACATCCTTACTATGTACTAAAGGATGGGTATTTAAAGGGAAACTCTATGCACCCTGATATTAAGATGTGTTTAATGGAAGCAGATAAATGTGAGAAACAGGTCAGCAGAATTTAGGGCAAAAATCAAATACAAATAAGAAAGTAATTAATTTTTGAAGGTGCGATCAATCAAATACAAATTGGCAACTTTATGAGGTATCTTGCGAGATTCCTTCCAATTTGCCCTGTAGTACGAAATAATTTAAAGAATCATATTTCCCTTAAGAAAATTCTAAACCATGCATCCACCCTAAATATAACTATTGCAAATATATTATAATACAACCCCTGAATAAAACAAATCTATTCCGTCGTCAATAAGTAAGAATTTTAAAATTTATAACATTTTCTATACAGAGCAAATTCATAACTTTCCTGTTTTATTAATCAGATATTGCTTAAAGGCCAAGTCCACTCCAAAAAAAAAATGGCTTTTAATAGATGCAGAAATACAGGAGAAACGAAGCCAAAGAAATTGAAAAAAATTGAAAAACTAATATCAAAGGAAGTTATCACATTTGTGTTAAGTATAAAAAATACGGAACTTGTAAAATCACTTCACAAATTGCCAATTTAGTTATCAACTAGAACTGGAACAATGACGTCATTGCCTCACTATTTATCAATCGCTTTACATCTATTTTTATCCAATTAATTTCCCTTTTAATCCCCCCAAAAACTTGAATTCCCCATGCCTTTGCCCAGGTTATATGATTTGTATCATATTGCGTGCATACAATTTTACAGAATAACTATAAAACCATTTTCTGAACATTGTATATTCATATTCATTGGTTTTTATGTTAGTATACTCTATATTAGTGCATCCACACCAAACATATTACCATCAATATATCTTGGATGTGAGGAAATAAGATTTTTAGGGGGAAAATTGGAAATTTGAATTATCAATATCCAGAAAACAAAAAGTGGAGAGTGAGGCAATGGCGTCACAGAATAATGAGTGAGTTGCCAATTTGTCTTGGGATTTTTCATGTCATTAAAAATTCATCACTTTCTTATTAATTATCTTATTTTGCTAAAACCTTTTTTTGTATTGGTTTGTCAGATTTTTCTGCTTCTATTTAAAGTAAGTCATTTTTTAGTGAACTTTCCTTTAACTATAACCTTTTTTGTTCTCATCATAAGAACCAACTAGATAATAAGGTGGAGTTCAACTTTAATTCCTAAAATGTCTTAAAGGCCTACTTCTGCTCTACACAGCAATCAGTTATCAAGCAATTTGATATGTATAAGATGCAGAAAACTTTAATTTGTAACTTCAGGAAAGATACATATTAAGAATTTTTGCGAATCCCACATTTTTTAAAAGTGTGAATTGATTAAAGTTGGCCTACATATTCAGATATTCTGCATATCACAACAATTGTATAATGTATACATATATCTTATAGATTAAGCTAAGAAAACAAACCAATGTCATTATACTAAAAACAATGAATAATTACACCAAATGGTATCCCTCAAATGATGAATATCCATGGAAAAGAATGGGGAGAGGAAAACAAGATATGAAATGCAAGACCTTTTTTGCAAAGGGAAATTGAGTTAAATATGTTGCCGGCACTGCTCAGAGCTGAAGATGTCTACCATTTGAAACAGTTAATTTTCTTTGCGATGAACGTGAAGTCACACATATTTTGTCGTGCATTAGTTTCTTCACACTAATAAGCTATTGTGGGTAGTATTTGCATAGAGGGGTGTATTAATTTGACAATGATGAGGGATAATTAGAGATAGTGGCTGTTAGTTTTTAATACTATAGAATAAGGGAAGGAGGGCGACACCGCATATATTGAATGAAAGTGTTATGGTGGAGAGAGTAGGAAGAGACGGAGAACATACTTTCAATTTATTTTCATTAAAACTATCTAAAATGTAACAGATATATTTCACATCCGAAACAAGTCGTGAAGCAATATAATAGAAATAAAATAGAAACTAGTTTGATATTAATTTTCATCCAATAATTTTTGTGATTGAATTGTCTTTATGATCATCACGGGCGGGTACCTACACAAAATATCATACCAAATAATACTCAACAAAATGAATTTAATGTTTTATGATATTCTAAATTTATATTCTGCAAGCTATCTGAAGAATATTTTATAATTTTGTAATTATTCATGTTGCTCGCTCATTCGAGAATTTGGCTGTATAACTTTGGAGTATAACAAGTATAAAGAATATGGTATTGCCTGACACAACCGCGGATTTTTTACAATCCTTTTTCAGTTCTGCAATTCAATTTTCAAGAAATATCTGCTCCCTATTAGCAAGACAACACGTTAACAAATCTTGTACCAATAAGAATACATGCTAAACAGAAAGTATTGTTAGATATTTCTAACGATTTGATTCATACCACTATCATTTCTCTTATGAATGCAGCAATCAATTACTCAAAATGCATCTGGGAAGTTGCATTGTGTTGTCGTTTTTTTCTGATTCTGATAAATTACTTGAGAATAAAAAGACATTTTCTACGAGGTATGTGACATCAATGTTATAATATTTTTTCCAGCGTACACACCAAATGTATTATTTATTAGCGTTTAATTTAAAACGGAATAAATGTAGCCATTCGTTAAATATCAAACTATTCATATTCAGCCGCAACTTCTAGACCCACCATGGATATTCATTAGACTCTTAATATTCAATTATGAATAAACATTGAATCATGGATATTCATACTGACCTCCCAGAAATATTCATCCTCCATGAGTTTCTCGTCCTTCAGAGCATCAAGTCCAGGGACACAGCGCAGAATAAGGCCTGTATTGATGAAAGCACAAAAAAAAAAAAAAAAAATTAAAATATAGCAAACATGAGAACTAGAATAACAAATTATTACGTAGCAAAGTACTTTTTTCTAACAAACGTTAAGAAACTTGATTTATATTCTCAGAAGATAATCCATGATTCTGCATGCACTTCTAGCGAAACAAAGGTTCGTTATTCTGATATTTGGTAACTTTGAAGTTTCGTTAGTAATTCCAAAAACTATATAGGAACCATGAAAACGGTTTTTTAAGAATTTTGAAGCTTCGGATAAACAAAGTCTAGGAATAACACAACAATTGTTCGGCATTAGGCGAAGGTTTTGTGGTCTAGTTGATACGTCACCGGACTGTCGACCACATGGTTCCAGTTCGAGTGCCGCCACAGCACTAATACCCTTTGGCAAGACATAGATCTACCTTTTGCCACACTCGACCCTTAAAAATAATGTTCTTGAAGGGTTCAAAATGAAGAGATAGAGAACCTAACAAATAGTCGAAATGATTTATCAGTGTTGCCAATTTGAGGAGGGAACAGTGGTTTAATGTGTACTAAGTGTAAAGATAGCGAACCTGTGAACAAGCCAGAGACGATTGCTATGGCGAGGATCGTGAAAAATAGTCGAAATAATTTACCAGTGTTGCCAATTTAAAGAGGGAACAGTGGTTTAATGTGTACTAAGTGTAAAAGTAGCGAACCTGTGAACAATCCAGAGACGATTGCTATGGCGGTGATCGTGAAAAATAGTCGAAATAATTTACCAGTGTTGCCAATTTAAAGAGGGAACAGTGGTTTAATGTGTACTAAGTGTAAAGATAGCGAACCTGTGAACAAGCCAGAGACGATTGCTATGGCGAGGATCGTGAAAAATAGTCGAAATAATTTACCAGTGTTGCCAATTTAAAGAGGGAACAGTGGTTTAATGTGTACTAAGTGTAAAAGTAGCGAACCTGTGAACAATCCAGAGACGATTGCTATGGCGGTGATCGTGAAAAATAGTCGAAATAATTTACCAGTGTTGCCAATTTAAAGAGGGAACAGTGGTTTAATGTGTACTAAGTGTAAAAGTAGCGAACCTGTGAACAATCCAGAGACGATTGCTATGGCGGTGATCGTGAAAAATAGTCGAAATAATTTATCAGTGTTGCCAATTTAAAGAGGGAACAGTGGTTTAATGTGTACTAAGTGTAAAGATAGCGAACCTGTGAACAATCCAGAGACGATTGCTATGGCGGTGATCGTGAAAAATAGTCGAAATAATTTACCAGTGTTGCCAATTTAAAGAGGGAACAGTGGTTTAATGTGTACTAAGTGTAAAAGTAGCGAACCTGTGAACAATCCAGAGACGATTGCTATGGCGGTGATCGTGAAAAATAGTCGAAATAATTTATCAGTGTTGCCAATTTAAAGAGGGAACAGTGGTTTAATGTGTACTAAGTGTAAAAGTAGCGAACCTGTGAACAATCCAGAGACGATTGCTATGGCGAGGATCATGACAAATAGTCGTAATGATTTATCAGTGTTGCCAATTTAAAGAGGGAACAGTGGTTTAATGTGTACTAAGTGTAAGGATAGCGAACCTGTGAACGATCCAGAGACGATTGCTATGGCGAGGATCATGACAAATAGTCGAAATGATTTATCAGTGTTGCCAATATAAAGAGGGAACAGTGGTTTAATGTGTACTAAGTGTAAAAGTAGCGAACCTGTGAACAATCCGGAGACGATAGCTATGGCGAGGGTCATGACGAGGGCGGCTAGTTGCATGAGGGCCTGTGTACCGGCACTACGGATCTCAGTGGGGGTGGCTCCAGTGGAATCTTCAAAACGATCTCCGAAGACGGCTGGAAGACTGAAAGCAACAAAAGATGATAAACATAATACTGGAGGATCTAAAAACTATCACCGAAGACAGATGGAAGATTGAAAGTAACAAAAGAAGGGGGAAATCTTATTGATAAATAAATCATAGCTTTCTTTTCTCTGTTATATAGTGTTCGTGTTTTTTTAATTAGCTGTTCTAAAAATTGGAGAACTAGATAAAATACCGTGAAAGACTAAATACTGAAATTGATGACGCTTTGATTGTAGTAATATGTTCAGTGCACTTTAAATAGTTGACATTGAAATTATCAACAACAAATTATTAAATATACAGGGAAACACTACAACCTTGAAAACAATATGAATAACAGTAGTTTATAACAGATTATGTAACAGACTGATAACAGAAAATGCGAGTAATTCAAAATTTCAATGGGCAAGAAATCAGAAAGTTCTCGCCTCCATACACTGATTTAGAAGCTCGAGCACAAACTACGACGTCTCCCAATCCTCTGATAATGCTGAAAATCACGCTTCCTGCATCCCCTTCCACCCTCCCCCCCCCCCCCCCCCCCCCCCTCCTCAATACGCCACTACGATATCCAGCCATTGACTTTCACATGACTTGTTGATTTTGAGATAGTTGCGACAGTGGAAATTGTTTCTGATTAGTTAATTATTTCACAGAGCTCCAAATAGTTCCAGCCCATTGATATTATACTTGGAGAGAAACTGTTTAGAGATTCCTATTCAAAGGGCAACCCAACCTGTGTCATAAACCTGTGTAATGAGTTATTTATATGAAAGAAGAAAAATAAGAGAAACATAAACATAAATCGGACCAATAAGAAGAGAGTTATGGATGTTTCAAAGATGTGATCACTAAATCTATGCAAATCTCGAAATTTGCGATCCGGCCTTTGGATTGTGATAAAAGATACCCTCCCGTTTGCCGTGTACAAAAATATAGTTTATTTATGTTTTTCTCTGAAGTGCCTTCTCTAAATTAAGGATAGCATACTATTATAGCCCTCTAAGAAGAAAAGACCATCGTACATTTCGAAAAAATGATATATAAATCATTTTGTGTGTAGAAACAAATGGGTTACTTTTCTGGCACTACATCACAGTGATATTACCCATTCACCCAATTTAGAGTGCCTTTACCTGTAGTGACTACAACTTTCGAAAATTCATTAAAACATTACCTGTCTGCTTCTATGATTTGTCTGCTATAATTTAGAGTATAGTTGCATATTAAGGTTGGATTTTCCTTTAACCTTTGACCTGGCTCACGTATTCATAGATGCATGTGTCACAATTCTCTCTCTCAAAACGCTATAATAATAAAAAAAAAATATTTAATTGTTATATAGCGCTTAATACAAATGTCTCTTAGCGCTTTTCAAATTTACTATTACCCCGATCATTGGATTCAGTGCTTGCCCGCACACAATGTGTGCACAATCTCCACTCCCTGGGGAGCATTCCAGCGATCACTTACCTGTCACCATAGACGGACTCTGAAGCCAGTGCACACGCCACGACTCCTGCCAGTCCTCCCAAGATACCTGGCATTCCATGGAGGTTATTCACACCACACGTATCATGGAGACCAATTTTCTCGCAGAGGAAGGGCTGCAGGGGGAAAGGGGCGTTGAATGAGTTTCGGTCATAGAACAGGGGTAAAACTTCAAACCCAAATCTCTGTGATCTACTTAATTTATACTCTAGAGGATGTTGTACACACTGATGTCTATCGAAGGTTGACGATTGTATTTTTGGTTATATGGAGTATTATAATAATAGTTTGTGAATCAAGACCTTAACATTGTTATCACGACAATAGGAATTATGCTGAGCCATGTATCTAGTTCAAGTATTTCTAGACACATGAAATATATCACACTGACTTCCAAGGAATTTGTTATTACCGGTATCCGTTCAACACTGATCGAGTGTGGCAAATACAGATTTAACATCGTTCAATACGGTAGTGCAGTAACAATGATTCAAACTCTGTAACACTTGATCAACATTTTGACCATTTTTTCACCTGGATGATTTTGTATCCAAAGAAGCATGAGGAAGAAGCTACCCCTGAGGGGGGGGGGGGGAGGGGTCACAAAGATCATAAGTTGAACTTAAACTTTATGGAAAGCCGTTAGCATCATTGAAAATATTTTGTAACAGTTATTTTAAAAAGTGTAAAATGTTGATTCAAATCATTCACATTCTTAATTATCAAGGAGATTCCATGTTCTTGATGTGGAATTTATAAAATTCGAAAATACTTGAATTTTAGCTTTTGAATATATTTTATTTTAAGACTACAAATGGCTCTCCATAATCGCTAAGTTCAACTTAGAGTTCGGCTTATGGTCTTTGTGAAACACCCCCAGGAACAATGACAACACCAACCATTGATGTTACTAACTGTAACATACTAACATGGTTGCTACTGTTAGATGTGTATGTGAGATAACTCAGATAAGACAAGCAGATGAATCAAGATTGAACTCAGCATGGTACTTTATTCAGCTTCCATTATTCATGTGTATTCTTATCCTGTTGAATCTAGTAGCTCATTTCTGATTTCGCATTCTATGGTATCTTAGAACACTACAATAACGAAAGACGATTCTATTAAAATTATGTATTTTTAGTGAATCGATGTGAAATAAAACCTCTTTCGTCATCATTTACCTGGATGACTTTGTATCCGAAGGTAGAGAGGACTCCAGCAACAACTCCGATCAGGATGGCACCCCACGGTTGGATCATCAGGTTGGCAGCGGTTCCCACGGCAACTCCTCCAGCAAGAGTAGCATTCTGGACATGGACCTGGAAGGAGAAACGATGCTGTCAAGTTTCCCATTTGCTGTGATAACTTTCACACCGTTTTTTATACAGGTTGCGTGTGTATTTGAGAAGCCAATGTGGTTCTGCTTTTTAAAGTATGGTAAATGACATTCCCTTTTGGGTTCCATTCATGATCAATGATCAATTTATAAAATATTTTAAACGGTAGAAATTTAACATTAGGAATAGAAAGCTGAATAATTTATGCTAGATTTAGGAGCGGTTCTCGAGGAATATTCAAAGGGGTTTGGCTGCGGGTTCACGCTACACTAGTTAAAATGTGATTTTAAAAGACAATTAATAAGCTTAACGACCTCTTCAGGAATGGGATCTATTTAAATTGGGTTGAGGTAGAACTAAAATTGGAAGGAACTGAAAATTGACACTCTTGATAACCACGTCAAACATTCTTTCTTCCTGAGGAGGCGGGGGATGGCAAAAGTCGTGACGCAGCACGGAGGAAAGGTAGAATTAGTAATAGGCGTCTCGAACTAGCAACTAAATTTGCCAAATCAGTTTTAACCTCTCCTGAACATCGCCATCTCTTGCCACAAAGTAGAGAATCAATCACAGGTCGCAATCTTCGGAACTCTACACACATGAAATTACCTTGTATTCGAACTCAAAGACGCATACTTTCTCCCATTCCTTACTTCATACAACTTCTGAATTCAACTTCTTAGTTATGCCCTCATATGTTTGATCTTGCTTGTACCGTTTGTATCCTTATACCATTGTGAATTTGTAAATGTTAATTAATTATTGCATAATGATTATGTCAAGTATTAGTTTTGTGATCTCTCAAAGCTGTTTTAATTTGTTTTTAATTTGAATTCCAAGTCCTTTCACTAGCAATGATAGATGATATGATATTTCTTGCTGAACTTCTTTGGTTTTTAACTTTGTAATTTGATTTAGTAGGCTATATATTAAATCTCTATTTTTTATTTTTTGTTATTTATTAATGATTTAATTTATCCATGCGTTTTTGTTTTACCTTGTTATATTTTTTGTTATGCATTTTATATTGTAAACTGACTTGTTTAGTCTTCAGACTTTTTAATCAGTATTTTTCTTGAATAAAACCAAATATCTAATTGAAATTGTAATTAAATTGAGAGGAACAAAAAAAAAATACCATATCGAATTTTCCTTTCTTGCTTAGCAGGCTGGAGGTTGCGAACGTGGCGACACAGCAGGCAGACAGGGAGAAGTATGTGTTGAGAACGGCGCGGTGACGCTGGTCATCGTCACCGAGGGCGCTGTTGAAGCTTGGCCAGAAGATCCACAGGAACAGGGTTCCTATGGTGATAACGGTGATGAAGAGGAGTGGTAAAGGAGGAGGAGGGGTAAAGGAGGGAGGAGGAGGAGGGAGTAGGAGAGGGGAGGAGGAGGAAGGAGGAAGGAAGAAGAGGAGGAGGAGGAGGAGGGTGGAGGAGGAGGAGGAGGAGGAGGGAGGAGGGAGGAGGAGGAGGGAGAGGAGGAATAGGGGGAAGGAGGAGGAAGGGAAAGGAGGAAGATGAAGGAAGATGATGATGATGATGGTGTTGAATGTTATAGTGATGGGGATGTTGATGATGATGATGGAATGGTTGGGATCATGATTGGGATGATGGTGGAGATGATGGTCATGTTGATGATGATGGCAATGATGATGATAATGGTGATGGTGCAGTGATAATGCAATTAATATGATGATGTTGATGATGATGACGACGATGATGATGATAATGATGATGATGATGATGATGATGAAGATGATGATGATGAAGATGATGATAAAAAAGACGGAAGAGGAGGTAAATTATTTATTGATAAAAGAAACGGTATCTATAGTCAAAATTCACAATCATTTTAATTGTGTAATTGTGATGGTTCATCTGATCAACAAATAATTATTCGTAAATCACATTTCTGTCACCTCCATCTCTTAAAATATATCATCAAAAGTATATGAATGAGGTATATGTGAAGATGGATGATGGCTAAACGATAGCCTCGTATCCAGGAAGGTCCCAGGATCGAAACCATGTCGAAGCCATAAATAGTGTCCTATATATTGTAATGCATTAATTGTCATTACCAAGTCCTTCCAGAGAGATTTACAGCTTGGTGGTTGATGATAATAACAATTATAATGATAATGATAATAATAGTAATAACAATAATAACAATGATGATAATAAGACTGATAATTATAGTAATAATAGAATAATAATTATTATTATAATAACATTATTCTGGCGCTAATACATCGATGATATCTAATACGTTTTCAGCTTTACTACCCTAGTTATCGGATACAGTCTTGCAGGCACACACTGTTGCCATGCACATTCTCCACTCCCTGGGAAGCAATCCAGACAGGCGCCATTTTATAGAAGCTCACAATGTTGAGCAATCTACAATGACTTTTGTATCCTATCGGCAACAGGGCAGGGTTTTATGAGACCGTCATAAGTACGAGTCCACCGACATCCCATGGAAACGTGTGTTAAACTTAATACACGCATTTGAATGGGATGTCGGTGAATTTGTACTTTCGGTTTCGTGAGACGCTGCCCAGATATAGGTACAAGAAACGTACCGATCATGGCGAAGAGATCACTGTGATAGACCGCTCCTTCTTTGGGGCTTTCCCGTCCAGCCTGGCGGGTAACCACCATGGATACAGCGAGACCGAAGTAAGCCCCGAAGGTGTGGACATACATGGAACCTCCTATATCCGTAGTCTAAAGAAGGAAAGAGAATATAATACTTGCATGATTAAAGGAACACACCAATTGATTGCATAATATTTCTGTTTTATCATAAATACCTCAAACCTTTAAATGAAAATGTCACGAAGATATCCGTAAATAAACCCCTCAAAATAATTCTGCAATTCAAGTTTGAGCGTCGATATCTCTCTTGTTACTGTATCATCAGACTTTGGTATCGTTGACAAGCCTGTTTTTATACCTTTACAGTGATGCCCCATTCGTAGTGATTATGTAATCATGGGATGTGCAGTACAACTGAATATTGCGCCAAGTCAAAGGGCAAAATGTTGCAAATTGCACAATCCATCCTTTAAAAAAATGAAGAATTTACTGTTGATAATAACAATGCGTTTCGCAATATTTCATTTTTGACTTGGCCCCATATTGTTGACAATAACAATGCGTTTCGCAATATTTCATTTTTGACTTGGCCCCATATTCAAGTGTACGGCAAATTTCATGAATAAATAATCATTACAAATTGGCCGTCATTGTAAACGGAAACATGCAGGTTTTATATGATAGGCCTACCAAAAGTATGGCAAAGCCGTAACAAGAGAGATATCAACGCTCAAACTTAAAGTGTAGAACTTTTTTCAATGGGGTGAGTTCCTCCATTTAAAAACCGAATTGTAGAGGGTAGTTATCCCTACATTTGTAAGCAAGGGTGGACTTGTTTTCAGGTTTAATAAGTACATATTTTATATTGGTCACTTAGGCGTCAGAGAACTTGCTTACAAACAGCTAGACACTCCACATAGGTAACTGAGGTATAAATTATCATCAGTGATGCTAGGACATTTTAATACCCGCTCCAAATTTAGCCACATTTGCAAATAGATCTGCTGCGAGTGGGCAGTGAAATTGGGTTTAATAATATAAGATGTTGCAAAGCCCTTAATAAACAACATGACTACATTAGCCTTTATACTAACTGCTAAAAAAAAAAATGTTAAAAGAGCGTGTCTGCCCAGCACCCCCCCCCCCCCCCCCCCAGGTGACTGCCATTGGGTATTTCACACGAGATGTGAAGTCTTACTTACACCAAGGAACTCGACGGCAATGAACTCGTTAACGAGGGAGAAGATGACCTCGAAGAAGGCCATGATGGTGAGTTGAAGAGGGGATGTCTTGCCCAACAAAGCACCGAACGAGATCAGGATGGTGGCCGAGGTGAAATCCGCTAAAAGCATCCTAAAGAAAACAGAAAGGTTGAATAATTGTTTAGCAAATTTCAACCGCTAAAATGATTTATCTATCCATCTTTATCAAGCTCCCAAATAGTAATAAATAATAACATTAGTCACATTTGTATAGCGCTTACTACCACGTTTCTAATCGCTTTGCGTTGATAACATTATTACCTCGGTCATTGGATTAAATTTCTAATCCGCACATGAAAGTGCACACGCTCCGCTCTCAGGCGAGTATTCCGAAAATGCACCTTTTTACAATCGCCCACGTACCTCTGCTAGAAAAGACACACTCATTCACACTCATTCACATTGTGAATCACAGTGTGCTCCACAATGATAAATTGGGCCGTTTTCACAGTGTGGTCGCAACGTTCCACATTGTGGTTCACAGTGTGGATAACCACCGATTCACAGTGTGGATAGCCGGAGATCCACAATGTGACCACATTGAGAAGCACACTGTGGAATGATGTGACCACACTGTGAAAATGCCCCAATTTAACATTGTGGAGCACATTGTGGAGCACTTTGTAGTTCAGTATGAACAACTGGAGATTCACATTGTGGCCACACTGTGAAAACGCTCGAGTTTAACATTGTGAACACTCCACACTCATGTGAAACAGCCACCACACTGTGAAACGCTCACCACACTGTGACAATTGTCAGTGTGGACGTTCACAGTGTGACACATTATACCGTGTGAAATTGCCACACTGTGAAACGCCCATCATACCGTGAAATGCCCACCACACTGTGAAACGGCAACCACACTGTTAAATAAGTTTCGTTTTTGAATTCTACTATGTGAAATCTTTCAAATTATGAAAATGTAGTCTTGCAAAGCTTAGTACGTAATCCTATCGAGAAACTATTTAACACTTGGGTGAAGAGTGGCAAATCATCGGTAAATAAAGGGAAATCGTGTTCCACAAAGTCAATCTATACTTGATATTGAGTTCTCCTATTGTAATCTTCTCACAAATCCTGATAACAAATTTTAATTGCCTTTTACAAATGAGAATATGAAACATATCTGTGTCATGTGCAATTGTTTGTACGTTTAAATTTACCCTAGGTAGCCAAATCAATATCAATAATGCTCTTCCTTCGGGCCCTGTAATTAATATTACCCAAGCAATTGCAAGGTCACTATTTACACCAGGGCGGAAATTGGCACATGTGGACTACCGTCTTGCCAAATGGCGTTACTGCCTTGGTAAAATTCAAACCCTTAACCCTTTTATTGAGTCAAGTCAATGAGCCATCATTCCACCATTACACCACGATTGAAATTATGAAATTAAATAATCAAGAGAAGTAAGCTAAACATAACTTAGCATTGGAAATTATATGTGATGTTGTACTGCACATGAAGCTTATAGATGATTTATGTTGTATCTTCATGATCATTTTAATGGATTGCAACGAATATGCATTTAGTATTACACTGTGTGTCATAATAGCGGAACTTAATAATTTTAGCAAAACTTCTACAAATGCTCCTCATTACGTACGTCAGTACAGGCATAGTACGTAGCAAGTTATGGCATAGCAAGAGAAGTACACTAAACATAATTTAACATTGGGAACTGTAAGTTATTTTGTACAGCACATGAACCAAATAGATGATTTATGTTGTATATTCATGATCATTTTAATGGATTGCAACGAATATGCATTTATTAATTACATTCTGTGTCATTATAGCGGAACTTAATAAATTAAGCAACACTTCTACAAACGCTCCTTCTTATGTAGGTCAATACAGGCTGTGTACCTCTTTCGCATAACAAGTTGTGGAAACAATGTAGCTTTTAAATAAACATATTTGCCTCGACTTACTTTCTAGATCTATTCCTAAAGAAATTGTGCCCAGAAATAGTCGATCAAAATGGTAAAGTAAGTCAACGAACCCCACGGGTGATGAAAATAGCATTGAGAGCTAGTAAGAATAGGACCCCGAGTTTGAGACATAACATGACATAACATAAGAGTCCCTGTCGTATGAAGAAAAGAAATTTAAACGTGACTACCCATGACTTATTGAAAAATGCAAACCATCTGAGGGCGTGTTTATGCTTAACTTTTCTGGCCAGAATCAGGCATCTGTTACGTGTTTAGTTTAAAACACGGTTGCGTTCTTTCTCACTTTTGTAGAATCACCGAAAAACGGCGATCACAAAAAGATCACAAAAAGATGCGTTTACGATTTGTAAACGCGTTTAAATGGGGTCAACGCACTGACCTCTAGTGGGTCTACGTAGCATGCACAGTGCAGATTTGCGAATCCAGCTTCAAGGCCAATCAAGGCCACCCAGGGAGAATTGCCTGGAGGAGCCAGAGAAGTGAGCATAAACAGTACACCGTGGAACTGCGATTACGATGAGCGTTTACGATGAGCGTTACAGATCGCTCATTCTGCCTTCAAAATTTAAGCTTAAACGCACCCTAATGGATAAATAGGTCACCGGCTCTTCAACTACCAGTCGCTCCATTATTCTTCTTCAGGAATTTGCCACTCGACTGCTCAGCCTCTAGGGCAACGTCTCGTGTCAGATTATGATAATTAACATTTCCAATTCTATAGCTGCTGTAATAGACCAGTTTTACCATTTGAGGTCAGCGCAGGCTTAGAACCTCTGCAGCATAGCAAGTAATGGGGTAAAAAAATAGTATTTAATTTAACAGATTTGCCTTGACTTACATTCCAGACGTTTCCAATCCTATAACCTGTCATTATACATGATCAACAAGTTGTGTTTCTCAGGCGTGTGTATGTGTGTGTGTAATTGGGTTTTTACAGACGTGTATCAATCGTAAATTATTATTTACGTCTGGGGACCGACCTTTAAGCGTCACCGTCCGAAGGACGTGACTCAGTTTCGAACATGCGTCCTCGGCTGAATCAGTTTGTAACATTTTTAGCTGGATTACAGGCGCACGCCACAACACCTAACTTAACATATTTGCCTTGACTTACAGTCAAGACGTTTCCAATCCTATAACCTGTCATTATACATGATAAACATATTCCTTTTCTCAGGTGCAGTTCAAGAAGAATAATTTGAGAGAGCGAAAATGATAGGTGGCTTGTAGTACAGTCAAAATATGAAAAAACCTAGAACTAATTGCAACAGAAATGATTCCACTTGCATATAATCTGGAATAGCCATAAAAACAACATACTCAAAGTTGACAAAAACTGAAGTGGTGGATCAGTGCCTAATTTGCATAAATTCAAAATGGCCGCCATGTCAGACCCTGGTAGACACAGAAAACCTATTTTAGCATATATATCTAGATCTGAGACACATAGAAAGCTAAACAAAGTGTCTTTACCCATATTTGGGGGATCAAGAAACATGATAATAGCATTTTCAGCAGCTAACAACTACTCCTTGACTCTTAATTTGCATAAATGTGCATATAGTTAACCCTTTTTAAAGTCAAAGTGGCTGCCATGTTGCATGTTTATAACTATTTCTCATCAAATACTTATAGAAAGTTTATTATAGTGCCCTTATCTATGTTTAGGAGGTCAAGGAACATGATTATAGCATTATTAGCAGCTTAAAACTACTCCTTGACTCTTAATTTGCATAAATTTGCATATAATTAACCCCTTTTAAATTCTAATTGGCTACCATTTTTTTCATGTTTAAAACTATATCTCTAGATTTGATACACATAGAAAGCTAAACGAAGTGTCTTTACCGATGTTTAGGGGGCCAAGGAACATGATTATAGCATTATCAGCAGCTTAGAACTACTCCTTGACTCTTAATTTGCATAAATATAATTAACCCTTTTTTTAAAGTCAAATTGGCTGCCATATGTTGCATTTTTAAAACTATTTATCATCTGATACTTATAGAACGTTAATTTTAGTGCCCTTATTCATGTTTAGGGGGTCAAGGAAAATAGCTCGGTAGAACTTAGGAATGTTTTTGTCTAACATTTTATAACCATAGTTACAGTTAAACAGGAACAAACCACCGTTCTTTTAAAGATAAAATTGAAGAATTTGAAACCATCCTTGTTTATCGGCTTCTTTTATTCTTTGAATCCAACACAATTGTTGTGCTCTGGCAGATTGGAGGTTCTTGCATTTGCATCATGAGCCCCGCTTCAATTCCTTTAAAATTTAGATTTTGTTTGTTGGTAGATGGGGCTTAGAGAGGCTTTTTAAACTGTGCTTTTGGTCCGGCTGTATAGTGAGATAAACCAAAGAGGGTTATACAAATAAAAGAATATTGCCTGTCTGTTTTCTTTCTTCCAATGCACTTTACTCACCCGACAATTCATTTCAAGCAATCAGTCGAATTGTAACCCGTATTTACAGTCCGCGTTCAGATGTGACTTGTACTGGAATGCAACCTTTGACTTCAGTTTGAAAATGATATTTACAAAAAATATTTGAGGACAAAAGTGTATATGACAAGAGATCTATTCTAAAAAGCTTTTCGCTCGTATATCATAATGATATCCTTTTTGACATCTAAAATGTACCTCTGGTTTCACACCATACAATTTCTACGTCACCTCTATATATCTAATCCGGTCCAAAGCACAGCGGAAAGAGAAAATAGAGAGGGGGGGGGGTTCTTTTTAAAATATCACGATAATGGCGACTGAAAAGTAGGAAAGGAAATGTGTAGTAATTAATCATAGTAGGTGGTCATAACCAGCTTTTAAATACACCAAACTCTCTTAACATTGACCCAAATATGTCAAAAAGGATGTTAGCTTGATGAATGGTTAATAGCTGTGTTTTGAATTGCAGGCATGACCTAGATATAGAACCCCTTTAGACCCCGAACCAGCGTGGGTCAACTTTTTCTATTTTTCCTTCTTATATTGCACGGAGAGGTAGGAGGGAGCTGGGCTTACTAAAAATGAATTAATTTCTGACATGATAATATACCTCACGATCACAGTTATCGTTCATGATATCCATGTAATAAGAATAGTTATAACCTGGATTTATATAGCGCT